AGTCCTCTACTTATGGGTGGTAGTCCCGCTAATCTCGCGACGGTTACACCCGGTAATCTCGGGACCGTCGGTTACACCCGGTAATCTCGGGACCAACGGTTATACCCGATAATCACGCCGCTGACAATAGCTCACATCGGCCCCCACCGAGCTTCCCTGTAGGTCGGACCTCGACCAGGTTTACCTCGGCCCTCGTACTTAGCATCTGTCAACGCTAGTGGTGGTGATCTCGGCCGTCCAAGCTGGGCATGACTCATGAGTCATCCTGGAGCACCAATAGGGGTCCTCCACGTGTCCAGGGTATTCTCTTCCCCAAACACAAATAAAATCAATTGGGAATCAAATGTCACCAAATTCCTATTGCTTTTCAAGCTTTAGAAGTTAAAATTGTGGTAGAATCGGAATTCTACTGAAAGTTAAAATTTAGTTATGACTTTGAATCCTATTCAAATGTTTTTGGTAGAGTTTAAATCTTACCCCAAATCAAAATTAGGGTAAATTTTAAGCTTTATTCTGAAGCAAAATTTGAATATATTATTTGTCAAATTCAAATCAAAGTCTTGGCCACATTATGCAAATCAAGTCCGTAAATCAAGTTTAAATATCTCCAAAATCAAAGTGAGTCAAATAAAGAAGACAGTTTCAAATTTTAAATGTCATACTTTAACAAATTCTACCCAAAATTCAAATTATGAGTAGAAATTTGGTCTAGAATAAAAAATTGTGAAAAAAAAAATCAAAACATGGTGCTAAATGTTTTTTTTTAATTTTAAGACTTAAATTTGATAGTGATTTTTATGTTTTGTTTTTTGAATTTTTAGCCAAATTTGGAAAACAAAAACGCAGGTTTCTAAATATGTTTTTTTTATTTATTTTGAAATTGCATTAAGAATATAAGATTTTATTTTATTTTTGTGAATATAAGAACTTTTTTAATTTAACAGATTCATTTTAGTTCTAAGATATAAAAATATTATATTACCGTTACAAAAAAAAAGATATAAATATTATATTAATTTTAATAAAAATAATAGAATAAATCAAGTATAAGTTATCATTATTAACAATAGGCTTGAAATTTTAAAATTATATAAAGAATAAATAGGTAAAAAAAGTAATTATTAGTTGTTTTACATTTTAATAGGATTTTTATAAATATTTATTATTTTTTAAACATATTGTTGAACCAGAAATTTGAACAAATTACTAAATGCCACATCACAATTTAAAATTATATTTTGGACCAATCATAAAATTCCACGTGTCCTAAATTAATTTTAAATTGACAAATCAAATTGTCCCACATGTCTCTTTTATGGCCGTCCGATGAGATCAACTAATTGGATCAAAACTCATAAAGAGACTAGGCCCAAGTCCAAGCCCATTAAACCCATGATCCAATAAGACCCACCAGGACTCTATAAATAGAGGAGGCCACCTCTCATTTGAGAAAGGAGAAGAAGAAGTCATAAAGAGGAAAAGAGGAAGAAGTCAAAACGAGATAGAAGAATTGGAGATTCAGAGCACTCAGAATTGTCTTCGAGACTTGAAGAGTACGAGACTTCAAGAACATTGGATCTTCTCTTCCCACGCAACAATACTTGAAGACTCCATCAAACTGCAAAGTCTTCATCAAATTAACCAAAGAACTTCAACAAGCTGTAAAGCCGAAGCAGCTGCAAAGTTGAAGCACTTCATAAGCTGCACAAAGCCGAAGAACTTCAACAAGCTCCGAAGCAGAACACTTCACAATCTGCAAAGCTGAAGAACTTCACAAGCTACAAGCCGAAGAACTTCAACAAGCTACAAAGCCAAACAACTTTACTAACGCAAAACCGAAGAACTTCACGAGCGCAAAGCTGAAGACTTCACAAAGTCTTCATCAAGCTACAAGTCAAAGAACTTCATCAACAAGTCAAAGTCTTCAAACAAGCTCAAAGCTAAAGACTTCAAAGATCCTTCGTCAAGCAAGAAGCTAAAGATGCAAACTCATTGATTCGAGAACAAGCTCACGAACCCTTGAATTAAATTTTACATTTGAGAGAATTAATCAGAGGATTATACATTAGAGGTTGTAACACTCACATACATAAATACAAATATAARTTCATAAATTTAAGTTTTTTCTTATTGAATTTCTGGTCGAACAAATTAAAAAAGAAAAAAAATCATGTATCATCTTCTTCCTTCAGAGTTCAACCAAATCCATTCATCCATGGCGGCATGACGTCACTCTGCAACCCGAGTACCCGCGGCAGCATAGCAGATCCATGGGGCCATTTTAGATATGAAAAAAAAAATTGCTTCAGCCATCGATGGTTCTGTCAAGTTCTGATGACCCGATTGATGCACATATGAACAAGAAGCAAGCTACCCGCCGGTGAAGGTACCATCGCCTTATGCAATCTTCAAACGTGACCTTTATGCCTGAAACCTGCAGAAGAAAAAAATATATATATTGGCAAAACTTTCTGGACCCGTGGGAATCCAGATCGATGAATACCCATAGATTTTCAACGCTACAGAACCATGAAGATTGAGACGCTCAAACTTTTTCTCCATATTTTGCTTTAGTATCATAGCCTCATACAAATATATATGAAATTTTAGAGTAGGGTTGTTTGAAATCAATTTTGGGAAGGAGGATATTTTGCTTCGGATTTTGCATGAACCTTAATTAAATTTTAAAGATTCTTCCTTATTCAAAATTTGGCTAATTATGGTTACAAATTTTGGCCCCATCAGGATCGTGATTTTGCTAAAATTTTGCTCAATGATGGATTGATTAAATGATAAAAATTCCAAATCCAACCCTAAATCATAGAAAAATTTTTGACATATAATATTCATGTCCAAAAGAAATGAGAATGACAAATCAAATTCTAAAGTTAGCTAATTCAATAAGTTGAACTCCCTCGATCGTTGGCGAAGAAGTTGAACTCGCTCCTTGGCGAAGACGCTGCACCCGCTCAATCATTTGCAGAGAAGCTGCACCCACTCAAATCGTTGGCGAAGACGTTGCACCCCCTAGATTGTTGGCAAAGAAGTTGAACCCCCTCGATCGTTGGCAAAGAAGTTGCACCCGCTAAACCTTTAAGTAAAAGTAAAACATATATTTAGACATTAAAATTATGCATTTTTTAATTAATTTTGACAATAATATAATTGTATCATCTCTCTAAATGAAGCAACCTGAGTACAACTCAACTAGTTAAGACATAGAACAAAGACATATGTTCTAGACCAAAAGGTTTTTACCTATTTGGCTGGTTCAGTGGTCAATGCCCTCATAAGACAGCATTTCAAAACCAACAGAAAAATTAACTAAAACAAACTTTTAAGTTTTGAATGCATATAAAAAATACCAAAATTTTATCATTTGCTAGATAACTTACATTCAATACTAATTAAAAAAAAAAAAGGTTCGTTCATAAAATGACTAATTAAAGCCAGTTCACTGTTTACAAACTAAAACATTAAAGCAGGTGCTTCTGAAAAGGTTTCAAATAACACAAACAACTAAATTACAAACGACATAAGATACTGGAACTTAGTCGAAATTTCCATGAGCAAAATTCTTGAAGCAATTTTTATGCAGACAATGTTCTTTTTTCGGTCACCTTAATGTCAACTCCTTGAAAACCAAGCATCTTGTTTAGTGCACCAATGTAGGCCTTCACACTTGATACGACTATGTCCATGCCAGCCCCGATACCACTGCAACGATAAAAACATATCACTAGACAGACAATTATCGATATGCTAGATTGCTTGTGTGTAGCAAAGAATACGAAAAAGTTAATCGATTTATCTTTGAAGTTATTGATATGGGTTGATTTCTTTTTTT